AATTAATAGAAGCTCACGTCTTATCGACGAAAAAACCAACTGACTAAACGAATCAACTGAGAAAAGCGTCCGTCGCCGCGGCGGGCAAGCGATAGTGACAAGCTCAGATTATTTTTTTGTAAGGGGAGAATCGTCAATGACTTGTATCTCCAAGGGTGAGGCGAGAGGGAATGTCAGACTCTTACTGAGTAAAATATCACAAGAAGTGATATTCTTATCAATTCTGCGGTTCTGCGGCTTATAGTCAACCAAATCTGTTTTCAGTCAGTATTAATAAAATTTGCGAGTAGTTTTAGAAAAAATACTGACGTTCAACCTCCTTTCAATACTTTAGATCTAGACGAGAAAAGGCCTATTCCCTGTGAATAAACACACACACGGTCACAGAATAATATGCGCATATAAATCGTTCGTATACCAATACGGGCTAAGAGAAGTCATTGAACCTAACAAAAAGTATTTATTTAAATGTTGCTTAAATAAACTTTCTGTTCTGGTCTCGTTGCCATCGATTTACGGCTAGAGTTATAGATTTAACAATATTATTGCCTATAACAAACTTTACGATTTGAAGCAATACTAACGATAGACAATAGAAAGACTATATTAGGTAATACAGTTCAGTTGCCAACAATTAATTCGGCAGTTTAACGATACTTGTTGTCATCGTAACGGAAACATGTGTTTCTGCACATTTAGTCTTAATAAAGTGCGGAATGTGATTTTTTGTGGCCTTTCAGATTTCCATTAATGTAGTTCTGATAAAACGACAGTCTTGAAAATCTCCTTAAAACTCAAGAACGGGTGGTCCGTTTTGGATCATATTTTTTGTCTTAAAATATTCATTGAAGTCCAGGGAAGGTTTAAAAGGTACATATATGTACATAGTTATATTTAAAAGGACGGTACAGAGTTCACCAGGTCAGCTAGTAGAAAATAAATATGTATAAATTAGTATAAGTATGTATACGAGAGCTGACCTAGGTACTTGCTATTTACATAAAATTGTCATACGCAAAAACTGTACATGGATCTGAATGAAGCATAGAGATAGATTATCCATAGTTTAGAATAACACATAGATCGGCTGCTTTTTATCCGAGTAATGTAGACTAAGCCGCTGACAGATAGATAGTAACGTAAAAATATAATAATAGTCTTTAAATTTTTTTTACCTACGGACATTTTGAAATTAAATATCAAAAAGTTCTAAAGAAAAGCGATGAAATTATTAAAATACCTTTTTGTAATGTGGCTTCATTTGTTGGAGAATGAGCAATAAAATGTCTCACGAAGATACTTAAGGCTTATAAATTACAACGATAAATGTAAGAAATAATATGCTTTATTATTATGGATCTATGATTTACTTTAAATTAACTTATATCTGCTTTATTAGATGAATCGTGTTTGCTCAAGCATGCTACAACTTTGTGTAATGTCAACAAAAGATTAATTAATATTAAAAATATATTATTATGTTCTTGAATATTAATTTTAGTTGTTTCAATTATTTTATAACGGTCGCAAACTTATTTAAGTATTACTACATACAAATATATCTTTTTGGGAATCGGGCCGGAGATTTATTAAAAAGTCGGAAATTAATATATGTATTTGATTCAATATTTTTTTAAGTACATGATAAAGTCAATTCTTATTAATTATAAAGAAGAAAATATTTGAATGTAGACAAGAATATCATTAAAAACAAAATAAATAATTACAGCTTCCTCGAAATTCTATAAACCATTTAATACAGTGCTGCAGAAATACTGACTTTGATTTTATAGCCATAACAACAAACAAAATATGATAGACATTGAGAAAACAGAAAAAAATAAAGAAACGTAGCCGCTTGCATCCCGCTACGGCCCCTACGCGGCCGCTACGAGCTACGAGCCGCTACGATATCGTTACGTAACTATCTCCGCTTGCACATTCTTCGCACATTCAGATACTAACGCACAATAAAATTACTTTAAGACTTATTTATTATAATGAAATATTAATTTACCTTGTTCATTCCATTTCCCATTTTCGTATAGTACTTTACCAACTATTCAAACCACCAAAATTATTGTCATCATCTTAACAATACATAACAACTAACACATAACGTTTTATAAACATGTTATTCAAAAATCAACGGTATTTTAGTGTCATGTTCTGTCAAACTGTCAACACGTTCGCGTCACTATGGCTACATTGTTGACGCCGGTGCGCCACGCGCTATCGATGTTGCCATCTAATATGAGTTACATAAAAATGTTTAGCATGATAATCAGGATGAGCTGTTTAGAGGTGTTTTCAATGAGATTGCAGGTTGGTGGTTTTAGATTTTTATCACGGGTTTGTGTTATCGATCGTGTTTGTTTGCGTGTGAGCTCTTAGCTCGCGGCTCGCGGCGTGGTTGGAAGACGCGTGCGACGTGCTCGGGACGCGACGCGCCACTGCCGTCTGTGCCGGACTGCCCGCCCGGCGACACTGCGTCTGTACAACCCTGGAGGGACGGCCGCTTGTCGATTTCTTTATATGTCGATGTCTAACATAGTACTAACTTTCAGAAAGAGATTTGTAGGAAATCTCTTTCAAGTAAACAGATTTACGAACCACTTTTTCTTGCTACACATTCTTCGAAATGTGTCTCGTCTTAACTTTACAAATAATTGAATGAGTAAGTCGTAAGTACTTATAATAGCAGTCACGAAGATAATTTTAGGCTCACTTATGATACCATAACACAGTAAAAAGTCGAAGAAAGAAGACATTTGCACGCATAACGCGACCTGAATCAAATCAATCTAAATCACACATTAGTTACAAGCTAATAGACACGTTTACCATGCATAATAAATCATAAATTATTATCACAAGTATCGATATAAAACACGGGAACAACTTTCGTGCCTCAGTGCGGTACAAATGAATGAAAAGATACTCGAGGACAGCGGAGCGCCTTGCGAATCCGTTAACTGCTTTAATCGAGCTAAGAGAATAATATAAAACATTGAATAAGACCGTTCAATAGACATAAATTACACGAAACCTAGAATTCCTTTCGTCCTCTGCAGAGGAAAAATGAGATGAGATGGGATGGTAACTTATCATCAGGTGATAAAGCAACATCAAAAGCCATAATGCGCGTTGCCAGACTTTTATGAGTTGTAAGAGATTTGAGGATTGGAGATTTGGGGATGGAGGATGGAAGAGAGGAATGATTATGCCTCCCGAAACTTCATTCAGTCAGCAAATTCTGATATGTAGTTACTGAAAGGTTGCATTCCGTTTAAAGCAAAGACTACAGTATATAGTATAGAGAGTTTAAATTCAAGTTTTATTTTGCTGTGAAAAGCAAACGATATCAGAAATGAAGTACATATTTACAGTTTGCTATCTCCCAGTGAAACTAACAAAAAATGCACTGCTACGGGAAATTGAATAAAGATGAGTTCTTAAAAGACTGTAAAGAAATAAAAAATAAAACAACGTCATAGTTATTGTAAATAAATGTATTTAATACTGTAAAAAATACCGCATTTAATAACTAATTAGGTACAAAGTAAGGTAAAACGATGGTACCGACATATATTGGAACAAATATTTAATTATTGCCAGCTTTACGCACACTGTTTGATCAAAGAGATAAGGGTTTATGTGCCATGATATTACGTTTTTTATGGAACTTCAGATATGTAAAATATACGAAGGAATCCTATATTATTCTGTCGCAGCACCAGGCCAATATGTATATCGATAGACTTCATTAAACCCTCTTCTTTTATAAGCATCAAATTACTTCTCCAAAACTGGGTAGCGCGAGAGGGAGTGTCAGTATCTTACTGACTAAAATACTGACAAAATCTACTCCCGTTTCTTCTGCTCTAGGCCAAGGTCGCGGTATATTATAACGCTTGCACCCGCAACTCCGGCAGAACATTGGCCTATTGACGTACCTCAAGTAAGTAGGTAGTATTAAGAAACAAAATATTGGGAAACACAACCTTAGCTAGAAATTGGTCAGGTTTGATCTAAAATGAGTAAAGGGTTGATATAAACTGTCATTGATATATGTATAACATATACCTATATAAGATTCCCTGTTACATTTACATATTTGTAATCATGTTTTCCGCATCCATCCCTTTTTTGTTGAAAGATTTAAGTTGTCCACATTATAAAATGCCACCTCAATATTCTAAAGTCACCCGAGCGTACGGCGCGTATCGTTCCGCGCGCGCCTCAAAGAGCCAATAGACCACCACAGTCGGGGCCCTAAAGGGCTGATGTTTAGCCGGGGCTGCGGGGTAAGCGCAATGAGGCACCGCGACCTCGGCCCAGAGCAGGAGAAGGAACGGGGGGGGGGGGGTTTTAGTCAGTAAGAGTCTGACACTCTCTCTCGCCTTACCCTGGGCGGGAGAAGTCATTGGATGATTTTCCCCTGACAAAAAAAAAAAAAAATATTCTAAAGTCAATAAACACAAATAGGAAGGTTAATAACTTACATTGCATAAATGATAGCAAAAATATACTAAGTATATAATGCCTAGGGTAAAATATTAACTTCTAGAAGATTCTAAAGATAACCTAGTCACTGCATACACTCTTTGTTCTCGTGGAATTGCTAAACGATTACGCAGTTGTTCGAAAGTTTAGCTTCAAGATATTAGAAATAGCAGCTAGTAATTCTTCGAAACCGTAAAGATACTTTCGATTTTAATTTCTAAGATGTTTCAATACTCATAAAAATACAGTGTAAGGCGTAGAAGCAGTAATAATAATTGGAAAGTTTACTATGGACAATCTGATGATAAGCAATCGATGCCGTCTTGGGATAGCGTCGAACTCGAAGCGCCAGAAGGTGTACAATTTCGATGTCAAGTCATTTTGTAGAAAATGTCAATTTGAAGATTGGGTATTTGGGGATAAGGGTAGAATTGGGCCGTGGTATCATTTCGGTAGAACCACCTTCGTGCCATGAAATGGCTTTTTCTGCCATGAAATAAACTTATAAACCTGGATATTTAAAAATACATTATAATTTATTAATACCACTTAATGTACCCGTATACTTTATTTTTCATCATTGTTCTTTTTTCTTAGTCCTCGGCTGAGCGACCAAAGCGAGGCCGAATACGATTAACATTGCACCAACCCACCATGTCATGGACGAAGCTTCTTCAAACAGTGCTATACCTATAACTCCCTGAAAACAAAAAAACTTATTACAAAACTATATTTGGAAATATGCCCAGTCCATGGCTCAGATTCGTATTACATGGGATTTCATACAGTGAAGAATGAGAGTTCAAATATGTATAGATACATTATTTATTACTTATAGTGTAGGTATATAACAACAAATAGTGCTTAGTCTATGTGTTAAGATATGTAGTTATATGGATATTTATGTAGGTCTTCTGAATAGTAAGAGATGACAGAGGACCTAGGAATGTGTAGAAACTTAAGTTTCGCTTATGAAAGTTTTAACATTTTTGTAAATACTAATAAGTACCTAAATAGATTAGCTATATTAAAGTAATTTACAATATTGGAGCAAGTTTTATGTAAATGTATGTAAATATCTACCGCATAGCTTGTTACACAGGTCAACTTAATAAAAAGGTGAAAAACTAATGAAAAGGGTAAAAAACCTTTTTGGTCACACAACACCAAAACACTGTCCATTTTTGATAAAAAAAATACAGAATAGCCATGTATTGATTAAAAAAAAAATAAAAAAAAAATAAACTTTAATGGCATTCTTGGGGTTTTTGACATCCTATGGACAGTAACTAAAATTGATAAATGCAAACAAAGGAGGTGTGCATAGATTTTTTTTAGTAATTGTTTTGTGTTGAAAAATAATCCGATCATAGTTTTTGAGAGACGTTTTTCTCCAGACAATATTAGGTGACGCTTTAACGAACATTAAACAAACAGCCTAAGTTTATCTATAAAACGGGCCTATTAGCTCGTGTGCGTATCTTGTAGATACAGTTTTTGCTAGGTGACTCGATAAGAAGGTATAGGTACTAATAATAATTGGTATCTACGTAGGAGAACCTGCAAGGTGATAAAAATAATAACATACTATTTTTATGCGAACTCACCTACACTTTTAATAGGGTATACTAATGTGTCTTTTATGTATTATGACGTAAAAACTTACCGATAAGACATAACTAGAGCCAGCTGATATGACGGTCGGTGCTGCCGAGTTAGTGGCGGCGTCAAGTGAGCGGAGGTAATGTCGACATCCCCATGTGTTGGCTAGCACCATAGTCACTAACAACGCCCCCCATATGATGTAACTATCACCCTGTTGATATGAAGAAAAGAGGATTTAAGTAATCGTGATTTTGCTTGTGTCTGGAGTTTTAAGTCTCATGTTTGTAACAGTTTGATTTGCGAGTGACGGACTTTATGTATATCCATGAAAAATCTTCTTTTTTAAATAGTATCCCCGGCAGGTTCTGTTTTGTTCAAAAGATTGCGAGTATAAGCGCAAATGACGTTCCGCGGCCCCGGCCCGGAGCAGGATAAGGGTTTTTAGTCAGTAGGTATGTCTGACACTCCCTTTCGCGGTACCTGGTATCTACTACCTACTGACCTGTAGGCAGGTGAGAACCTAATAAATAAATCTTAAAAAGATATGAATCATTGTGTTTATAACCATCTTACAAGAAAGTTAGGTGGGGGTTCTAATGCCAATGTATATTTTTTTGTAAGTGTATGGATAACTCCCCTTTAGTGAACCGATTTTAAAAATCGTTTTGATGTTTTAAACCTTCCTTACCTTAAAATTGGTTTCATGGTCTAGATCGACGACTATGATGATGGAAACAAGAGATCATCGAGAAAACTCCTCAATGTCAATTAAATATTTTTCTTTCTTGCTAATATCTAATCCGGTTACCTTGATTTTGAATTTGATAAATGTGTGTGGGCTTACTAGGTTCACTGCCCGGGGTGGGACGCCAAAGCAGTTGGAGTAGAGTTGGTTATAGTCAGTAAAAAGGACTGTAATATGAATACATTTAGGTGAATAATATATGAATGGTGTCGTGATAATTAATTATTCTATCGTAAACAAATCGAAGTATTAATATTTTTTTTTTTTTTGAGGGGAAAACATCAAATGACTTCTCCCGCCCAGGGTCGGGCGAGAGGGAGTGTCAGACACTTACTGACTAAAAACCCCCCTGTTCTTTCTCCTGCTCTGGGCCGAGGTCTGTGTGATATTTTGTGACTGTGAAGTCACAAAATATCACATCGCTGATGAGTGAACGAATCATTCATTACATACAAAATGCTTGTGGAATATTAAGCGTACCCGCATCGCGCCAGTGTTAACGTATTGTGTGACACACACATTTTTGCACCGTAGTTTGTACTTATTGAAATTAAATTGTCTGTTGGCCCTATGACCTTTGAGTTGTGGAAGATAGATGGCAGTCGATGTATGTCACATTCTATCATAATATGTCAGATATTCTATCAATATTGATATTCTATCAAATATGGCGCTAGGTTAGCCCTACCTAAAAAAGAGATAAAAAACCTTTTTTATCTGTTCTGTGGTAACGGGTGCAAGCGCAATTATGCACCGCGGCCCGGCTCTGAGCAGGAGGAAGGGGAGGTTTTTAGCTACTCTATTATTCCCTCTCACGGTAGCAGAAGAAGAAATTTGACAAAATTCCCGCTGCACAAAAAAAGCAGGTGAGAAACTAATAAATAAAACTACAGTCAGTCAGTCTATTACCGCCTCTCGTCCTACTCAGAAAATCGGGTGGGAGAAGAAATTAGATAATTTTCCCGCCTAAAAAATTAATCTTGATGTCCTTTTTACTACATAGTAGTAGGTAGTTAAAAATAGGCTTACTTTTTCATTTCCTTTCTATTACTAGACTAGCTACTCTTGCGCGGTTTCATCCGCTGCTCGGCTCTATTTAATCGTAGCGTGATGTTTTATAGCCTATAGCATTCAGGAACATTGTAGCTATCTAGCAGTGAAAGAATTTTGGCAATTCGACCAGCGGTTCCAAAGATTACCCCCTGACCTCTTTATAATATTAGTATAGATATAATTGACTGTGATTCTCAGCTACATTGATTCCAATCAGTTTGCGCTAGTGTTACAGAGTTTGAGTCATGGGGTATGTGTGTCTGAGTAAAATAAAACATCTCACAGTATAGGTACTCTTAAAAACGTTTATTACAATAGGCAATAAATGCAAAACAACGGACGTAGAATCTGATACTTTTATATAATATAGTTTATATAGCAATATTTCTGCAAACGTAATGAATTATAACTTCAAATTATAAGGGATTTAATGCTCTTTCACGCAGACAATTTCGACACCGGTTTTCGGTTTATAATCATTTCGATTCCGATTTTTATTGTCACCGTAGTTAGGCACAAACTCGTTAAAAAAGTGAATCTAACTAAAATATTAAGAGATTTGCGTAACACGAGCTGTGTTAGTCGAGTCTCCAAAAACTTTTTATATTTTAACTAAAAAGGTAAATGAAGGGAAGCACAATTTTATGATAGAATCTGACCTGCGTGAAAAATCCTTAACAACATTATCCACCTATAAAATTAATAAATTACATTTGGAGCGCTAATGCGGTACCGTGTCATTTTTTCTTAATTCTACTAGCAATCCATTCTAAACCTAAATGTAGCCCTTCTCCAGTAAGTCCACAGCACGCCTGTATATGCCAAGGGTGTTGTTTAATCGAAGTCAATTCCAATTGCTCAGATATCTCTGCTGCGGTCATTGATCCCTTCACGTCCTGTTTATTCGCATACACTAGTAGACAAGCCTTAGTAAGCTCCTCGTGTTTCAGCATCTGATGGAGCTCATCACGACACAAACTCAACCGCTGCCGATCTGTCGAGTCCACAACCATTATTACGAACTCGCTGTTCGTAAAATAAGTGTTCCACGCTGATCTCAGACTTTGTTGACCACCCAGGTCCCACATGACAAATCGCAGATTCTTCCACACAAACTCTTCTACATTCGAGCCTATGGTTGGTCTGGTATGTACAGTCTCTCCTAATAACAATTGGTATAGGATTGTCGTTTTGCCGGCGTTATCCAAACCCACTAGGAGTAGTTTGTGTTCCTCATTACCGAACAAGCTCCAGATCTTTGACAGCAGTAAACCCATTCTCGGCAATTTTTGCACCACTCCACTAAAAAGAGCAAGGAGATAAACCCGTAAGTTGAGGTAATGTAAACCAGTACTAGTATAACTAGTAACTTAACAGAATTCAATGCTTTAGGCTAAATCTATCACGAAAAATAGGTAATACCTAATCAATAAATGAATAGGTATAATTGGTACATTGAACAATTTTGTAACTTTTTATAGCGCCATCTGCCGTTCGAAACTTCGAAATCGGTACGAAAACTATTTGTTGGTTGTCCAGGGCAATGTTTCCGTTCAACAAAACCACATAAATAGTATACCTACGTAGGAATAATAAACCTGTAAAGTAACTCTCTAGAGTATGCAATAAATAAAACACTACAATTAACACAGCACCTGCCGATATTTTGCCACGAAATTAAATAAAATATGTGAACAAAAGTACGTAAGGTATGTGCTATACCTCCTTATCACGAAATGTAACGTTATCTATCAAATAGAAATAATAAATTAAAATAAGTCAACAAACTTACTACAATACTGGCGGTTCCTGATAATTTTCCGAAAGTACTACCAACTGAAGCCCATATGCCGGCTAAAAATGCTTCATAAAACATGATTTTAGTGTAAAAACATTTAGCAAAACAATTGACGACATTTAGGTTATGAATAAAGAATCGATTTTATTCATAAAAAATAATGCGTTATGTTTCACGAAGAAATTTCGACGAAAGGTCTGAAATTTATTTCAACATCTTACTAAAATATTGTAAAATAACAAAAAAAAGAAATGTGGCTTACTGAAACATATGAAAGAAAAATTTAATTTTCAATATTGTTTTCTTTTTCCAACTATTAATTCAAATCGTTTTCTGTAAACGCATTGTTACTTTGCATGAAACGAATCGTAGTAGCATTTTATCTGTGTTATCTAGATGTCAATTGTCATTGTCAATGATGTCATAATAGGCAGGTTGACGGAGTGGTTTCGTTTCGCTTGATATTTTACCTTTCCACATTGGCTATAAGGAGTGCGTTTATTTGTTAAAACGATTATTCATCGAGTTCAGCCGAAACTTAATTCAGTGTTCGCAAGTGTGTTAAGTGTGAATATCGTATTTTGAAACGTTGTGACGAAACTTGATATATTTTTGAAACGCTTTTTTATAGCTTTTGTTAAAGAAAAATTTCATCAATTTATTATTTGTAACCAAACTTCGCACCGCAAATTATTATAACAATGGAGAACTTGAAGTCTGGTGATAACGTGCTTATTATTTGGAATAACGATAGCAAAAACAGCATTAGTAATTTGGTGGAAGAAATAAAATCGATAATTGGAAATGGGTCGTTTGTCCTCGAAAACTCTGAAATGATTACAGAATGTGAGTACATTTATCAATATTCTTTTATGTGTTTTATAACAGTTTATTCTTTCCTTGCTTCACAAGTACTACTAAGTAAGTAATTTGCGTTAATTTGCTTTCTTATCTCAATTTGTATCGTGCACTTACATATTAGGCATAAAACGAATTTATAATTTATCTGATAAAGACTTGACCATCAAGATTAGTTTCTGACTTGATATTTTTTTAAAGATTAGACATAATGTTAATACAGTAAAATAATTTTGCCTACCTTCATAAACTTTACTGATAGACAGATTTAATTTTTCCAGCATCAAGACCCCCATCTTCATATGAAGCTGTTATATCAAACTGGCTGTCCCCACATACAGTAAAACACACTGACAATATCTTAGCAATTATTGTGAAACTCCTCAAGCCAAATGGGAAACTAATTCTTAAAGATACAACAGATTTGACTAGTTCACTTAAATTAAATGGATTCATCAATGTCACAAAGTCTCCGGACAATTTATATTTAGCTGAGAAACCTAAATTTGAGGTGAGTTTATTTTGTTTTAATTTTATTTTCTTATGTTTTGTGTCCTTAAACTTGTCACGTTTGTGATACACAGATATCTTTTAATGAATTACTGCAGTGTGCAGCTGTCTAATACGAATGATAAATAAATGTCACTTCACACATTACCCGAAGTTCACTTGTCAATCTAGAACATTTAATAATATCAGTAGCACATTGATGCTCATTGCATGGAGATGTAAAATTAATAAAGTAACACATTACATTTACTAAGTGACACATACCAATAGAATTGAAAACTGAATCAAAAAGAAACTGTTTGTTGTATGTACTATGTATACATCTGAATAGCTTTAGCAATATTAAAATAAAACTAGAAAAAATCTTCATTTATAATTTTTTTATAATGTTTTAACATACAGTATAAGCATTCCATGTATGATGTGTTAATGATGATAAATGAGGCTAGAAACTTTGATTGTCTTAAATACTAATAAAATAAAATAAATAAAATTTATTGAAGAACTCATAATCTACAATAAGTATACGCTTTTGCTTAAAGCTATACCAAGTTCATAATATTAGGTGCCTGAACAAAGACAACCTGTGTTAAATTAAATACTGGCAGTTTAATAGTTAATTAATTTTATTTCTATACTTTCCAGGTTGGTTCTAAAGCCTCTTTAAAACTAAATGGAAAGCCCGCTGTATGGAAAATAGATGACACGGTTGAAGAAGCTTGGACCGGTGGTAATGACGATGACCTCATCGATGACAGCGAGCTGTTAGATGAAAATGATCTGAAGAAACCAGATCAGCAGTCATTAAGAGGTAAGTTGATCTCCACATCTGCAATATTTTCAGCAATAGTAAAGGCGAAATATTTCCTATTTTACTTGTCTCATATTTGTCTCTAATAATAACTATACACATGGTTTTAAATTTTTAATGTACTGTAAATGGTCTAAATGCTCAGTGAGAGTCTGAAAATGCATTTAAATTTTTAAAACTGTATCAAATTAAAAAGTTTTGAATAGAATAGTTTATTTTTTATTGCCGGTTCAACACCACTAATAATTATGTTTTTAAAGTTTGGTCAGCTACAATGTTCTTAGGCACATCTAAGATTTATCTGTACTTATCATGTTAACAGGAGTTTAATAGATATAGGTTGAAATAGCATACCTCTATTGAATGACCAGGCAAAACACAATTTTCATGCAAATATCTTCCACGATATGTTATTGAATATAATAAAATAATGAGTTGCAAGATAAGGAAACACTTATCTGTTGTTGTGAACATTGCTCGTTATCTTGATAAAAATAACAATTGAGGTTTTGCGTTCCAAGCCCTCGCCCGAGTTTGATGCGGTTGAGGTTTTGCGTTCCGACTATTTCTAATGACGTAGCTCATTCACGCAAGGTCAATGGCATTAGGTGTAGTACAAGTTTTATTTTTATACCTGTAGAGTTCGATATTATTTGTGATGCGATAGAATGAACGTAAATGACACTCACAGTCATACACTAATTAATGTAATTAATGAAGTAAAAGAGAATAATTAAAGATGTCATTGGCTTCATTATGTTTTTTTATCTTTGGTATATTATTTTGATATGATACTACAATATGAAGCACTTATTGTTTTGGCAGGGAAAGAATACATTTTTAATATATTATATAGGTTGCCTGACTTAAAAAGGCTACAGTATCTACAACAATTTACAGATGTATATTATTTATGTACATTTATAATACAAATTAAAAGAAAAAGGATACAATGGCCCAATTCGACATCAAAAAACAACGAATATAGAACAATAGACTCTATGTGATTAATCAGAGAATATAAAATGGTTTACAGTTTGCGCAACGACCGGTAAACGGAAAGCGTGTGCTGATTGTTCGTGTGGTCTCGCTGAGGAGCTCAAAGGAGAGGTCAAGGACACACCGAAATCATCTTGTGGAAGTGTAAGTATAGTTATTTATATTGTTTTTTTTTTCATTAATAAGCCATTGTCCCAAATTAAGATCTTCTCCTGTGTCGCGGGTGCGTTTACAAACAAATAATGTACACTCACAGTCACAGAACAATATTAGATTTTTGGGCATCTTCACAGTATTAGATATATGTATATGTATATACGTAAGTTCCAACTCTATATATTTATTCTACACTCTCTTAAATAGGTTAAAACTGTTAAAAGTTCAAACCAAATTGCTTTGTACTTGTTGCCCCTTTTTCAGAATCGCCCTAAATAAAACTTTTTGTCCAGTAACGAGTTGTTTTAAGGCGCAAAATATAGTTAATAAAGATCCTATATCTTATAATAAATTCTTAGAGGGCATCCCTATTTCACACACTAATTAGTTACCTATAAGCTTGAGACCCACTACAAAGTTACGCACACACTGTGATTAAGCGGTTCAAAATACAACTTTAATAACTATACGAAAAGATTCACATTGATACGCCAGGCAAAGTGCCAATCATGTCTACGCGTAAGTAGTCACGTACTACAGCAACCAGAGAATTAAAAAAAAATAGATATGAGGAAAATCCTAATATTTCTATTAGCGAACATTATTGGTTGACGATTACGTATAATGTCGAAAGCGTGAATGCCCGATTAACTATTTACTTGAAACGGTAAAAACCTTCAGGTAAAATTCAATGGACCGTCAAAAACAAATCCGTTGTCTATACTTCTATATCTGTACTTCTATACTAATATTATAAAGAGGTAAAATTTGTAAGTTGGTATGTAGGGGGTAATCTTTGGAACCGCTCGCGTTGGTCGGATTCCCAATGTTCCTGAGTGCTATAGGCTATGTAACATCACGCTACGATCAAACGGAGAAGTTACGAGTGCGTTGCCGGCTTTTTCGGGATAAGGGTCTCTAGGGACAGATTTGGCCTACGGTAACCTCACTCACTTGGCGAAAACAACGCTGTAGTTGGTTCACGCCGGTTTTCTGTGAGTGTCGTGCCGAAGCATGGTTCTCTCACACTTGTTGATATAGTTATTTAAATTGGGGTCTGAGCAGGAGAAAGAACGGGGTAGTTTTTAAAGAAAAAAAGTCCCCTACACCAAAGTAGGGGAAGTCAATTGATGATTTCGCTCCCCTCACTCCATATATAAAAATACATGATGATGAATTATAACGATGACATACAAAGAAATAACAAAACTCACCGTTTACCTCTAATCTAATCTAACTAAGGTAGGAAGAAATCAATGGGTGATTACCTACCCCACCCTCAAATCTATAACTCAAGAACGGCTGAACCGATTTAGCTGAAAATTGGCAGGGAGGCAGTTTAGAGCCAGGAGAAATACATAGAATAGGATAGAGTAGGTAGTGTAGGTTACTAGGTAGACTAGGGTCGGTAGAGTAGGGTAGGTAGAGAAGGGTAGGTAGAGTAGGGTAGGTAGTGTAGAGAACATAGAGTAGGGTAGGTAGTGTAGAGTACATAGAGTAGGGTAGGTAGGGTAGAGTACATAGAAAATGACGGGAACGACGCCGCGGGTAAGAGCCTAGTACCATATAAAAATACACGATGATTCTAACGATGACATACAAAAAAATAACAAAAAGTCACCGTTTACCTCTAATCTATATGTGATAAACACTGATATGTTACCTAAACTTAGTTATCGTCATTGCGACGCGCTGAAACACTAACAATGCCAGTCAGTTGCATAATGTTTACTCGATTACCTAGCTGTATTAGATTTGGGTCAAATTGTAATTAGATAAGAGTTTTCGTTTTTAAAGTTGGTATTTTAGGTTTAGATTTATTT